TTTCAAAACCCAACTCTCATGGCATTAGAAAGAGGATCATGAAAAACCTATAAAAAAATGGTTCATGAAATTTTAGTTCACTCATAAAGCTAAAGTCCGCCTGCTCTAGCAAAAAATGCCCACTGTGAAATAGTGGCGTGAAACTAATGGAACTTTATGCTTAAAAGATTATTGAAATAACAGAAAACAATAATGAAGCGCTTTCAGCAATGGAAGTACTAGTCTGTTACTATACAATGAATACAACAACTACCAGATTGAGCCCTTTAGACTTTGCACTAAGATTTAAGGATCGTTCCCGTCAGAAATTCGAATTGTCTGTGAAAGTTGTCATATGAAATTACGCATATAGTTAAATAGCCCTTGTTGTCTACTTTCAGCATCTATCTCGAAAAATCATATACCTACGGTTGAATTTTGAAAGAGTTTTCTAAAGCCTCCCCAAAAGCAGGCTTTCGAAATCTTTCTAATTCTTCTCACATTCAAATATATTTTGTGATTTTATTATCCGGAAATATTAAGCAAACATCTTTCTCCAAAGTGCGGCGCTACTGAGCTCTGTACAATAATTCAATAGAAGGTTATAAACATTTTTCTAACAGCACCATAAGCTCGACTTTTCTTTTTTTCTTTCCTCTAAATCGATTTCTGCCTTCGTAGATTTTCGCTATTCCAAAAGTTTTCCTTCATTCTGAGTGCTAAAAATTTCCGGTAAAAAAAAGAAACACATATACGGCAGATCGGGATACCTCATTCTATGCCGGATTCTACATGAAGACTATTGAACAAAATGAGTATATAAAGAGAGAGATTGTAGTAGTGTTAGTAAAGAGAGAGAGAAAAATGGGAATCGACTAAGACCCGCTCTATCCATCATTTCATTTTCTGAAAAACAAAGAGAAAATGAAAAGTCGGGCTAACTTATGTCCTAGAATCAAGTGTTGGCTACCTTTGAAGACCAACCGAAAATTTTTAGCACTCAAAATGAAGGAAAAATCTTGGAATTGCGAAAACCTACTTTTTGATCATTATTTTAAGGATAATTCTGGGGAACTTAAGTTAGAAACGTTCAAACATCTTGTAACTGTTACATACTCGATTTTTCAGTTTCGCTGAATTTTCTTCCTCAAATGAAAGTAGACACCTAAATCTAAAATTTGGTCCATAGTGAGTTTTGAATTTCGCGTCCGTTCATTCCCTACACGTATTTTAAGTCAGATCTCTAAAAATAACCCTAATTCGACGGAGTATTTGCCACTTATTTCTGCACAGAAAACAAAAATCATCGAATTCCTGAGGGGGGGCGGTTTAAACGAAGAACGAAAAGAAAAACATAAACTTTTATGTTTTCTCTCTGTGGAGAAAGAGGCATCTTAAATCGATCTTCTCTTATAAGGCATCTGAACATCGATGTTCCTTACAAAAACATGGCTCACTTCTGTTTGGTCGATTAAAACTTCAAACGTTTCTACCCTGCGTTTCAAAATACAATGGCTTTTCACTACTTTCTGATAATATTTGCAACAAAAAAGAGAGATCTTTTGCCGTTTGCACCAACTAGGACTTTGATACGTGTTTTTCTAAAACAATAAGCTCCAGAATACTTTCTCAATAAAGGATTGAGGACAATCCTCAAAAAACCGTTAGGCTCTATAAGATATGAAGTAGCAAGGTTTTTGCTCTTTCATATGAGTAAATAGCCTCAAGTATCCTACACAAAATACGAGTCGCTCTCTTCATTTATCATGCTCAGCTGTATCTAGTAGTAATAGATAAAATAAAGTAACAAAGCTTTTTTAAGTTTACAGTTCACGTTTCACGGGCCTACGTTTTGTTTTCTGTTTCACTGTCCTCCGAAATTGACATGGTTTTTTTTGGAGAGAAAATATGAATTCCTACACAATTCAATGTAGGCTACAAAACTAGTACAGTGGGAGTTTGGTGGCTTGCGATCGACGTTACTCTGGGAGGAGCTACTTTAGAAGGCCCAGTATCAGATTTCGTGGGAGTCTTAGGATCGTGTTCAGTTGACTGAAACATAGGTTATCATGCCTCTAGGTAGAATCACTGTTTATGATCAGAACGGATTATTTTGAAGACTGCTTCAAATCCTTTCTTTGAGAAGAGATTCTAGAACTCATCTTTTTAGAAAACGGTGCATAAAAGTCTTGATTGTAGATTTCAGCAAACCGTACGTCTTTATCTTATTTCTTACAAACTTTATCAGAAAGTAGCGAAAAGCCATTGTATTTGTAATGGATAATAGCAATGACTAATCTGAGATTATAGAACATGACAAAAAACTTATGCGCTCATTAACAATGGTTAGAGAAAAGGCTAGCTCATTTTCTCTCTCTTCTGGATGCATTTAATTTATTTTGTGTGATTCAATAAATTGAAAAGAACGGCAACATCATACATTTTTTTTATTTAAATAGAAAACGGGAAGACATGCGTTTTGGAGAACAGACGGAAAAGGGAGAAATAGTAAAAAATATATACTGTTGATGTCAAATGAAAGGAACAGACAACATGGCATCAGATGTAAGTGTACATGCAACAGTTACTATGAACAGAAGGAAAGAAGAACATGAGTATGTTCGATACCTATTAGCTAGTAATAGGAAATAAATTAGTGTGCATGCTATTTTAAACAATATTTACAGTATAAGTGCCGATGTTTCTTCAAAACTATACTTAATCTCAATAGCTAATTATAACACTACACTTCTAATATATCTGTAGAAAATGATAATGAATATAAGAATTTCATCATTCGTTCTTATACTATACTTAATAAGATTTGTATTCGTCGTCAGTCATTCTAGTATGCTACTTTTTATTCGTTTTTATAATATATTATATGAATTCGACAATTTTTAGAATACCTGTTTTCTAGGATCAACAATCCGACCAGGATGACAATAACAACACCGTTTTGGTTCATGATGTATTAAACGACGAAAAAGCAGAAGAGCGTGGATTAATCGATAATATTGTCTCACCCAATAGTCATCAACGTCCATGGTCCGACTTTACCGTTGCCACATCAACCGGTAAACAGGAGCCGACTAACGATGATACGGTGTGTCGGAGACGTGATCGTGGAAAATCTGCACCACCTCTTCAAACACCTATTGAAGATTATCGTCATCGTATACGCTCGCATTCCACTCAAAAACCTCCACTTACCAATACTTCTCAGTATCGAAAATCTCGTCCTTATAAATTTATTCAATTACAGCATGCACTTATGGCTGCAGGACTATTGAAATCGGATGATGATCGAAAAAAATTTGAATTCAATTATTTACAAGTCCATGATGATCGAAAGAAATTTGATTTGTTCGTCAATGACTATTATTCTCGTATTGCTAAACATCTTAAAGATATTGGACATGCTGAATTTCTTCGTAAAAGTCGTGCATTTGCATGCGAAGATTTGGTTACAAATTTCAGGGCGTTAGATCCATCACGCGACATTAAAATTGAATTTGCTAATTATCGAACATCGAAATCGGATATTATTGATTATTTACCACATACAAAATCTGGAATAACTACTACACACACATTCGATGAATATGGCGATTTATTTTACGAACAACGTGTTGATCGTCTGTTGAAAAATCAAAGTAGAGCACGTGATGAAATAACGTTGTTTGCGAAAAAAGCTTCTGAAAATTTGCACGAAAAATTTCCACAAATGAATAGTGTACCACATTGTGTCAAAATCATTGATCACCGGGACATAACAGGACCTAGTGCACGAACAATTGCATTTCAACATCATCGAAGAAAAATGTCAATTATGGCGAAACGTCGAAATACCATCATGAAAATGTTGGGAAGTACGCAAAAATATCAAATGAAAACAATGCAGTTGATGCATGGTAAATCAAACAATTATTTAGATTCAGTACGGTTGTGTCATGAACTTGTGAGTCGCGCTGAAGAAATCGAAAAGAATATTCGTGACGATTATCTTGATGTTATGAGACCTTCTCGAAACTTATCAACCATTTCCGATACCTCTCACTCTCTACGTTTGAGTAATTTATCTCAGCAAGTTTTTTATACGTCGAGTACAACAGGTGATAGAAGTGAACGATCAACATCAACAACACTAAATGATAAAAGTTCTCTAACAACAGCTACAACAACTTCTTCAACAATCAACGATGCATTGTCATTAAAACAAATTGAACAAGAAAATGGACGAGTAATAACACCAAAATTATTTAGACAATTACATACAGCACACGTCAAAACATCGTGGGTGAACTACGTTTAACATAAAAATATGTGCATTTATTTAGATACCTGCTCTCTATCAATTTGAATTATTACTTAAAATTCTGATGTACATTTTGACAAAACCAAAACTTTTAATATTTTGTACAGAAATTGAGGCTACTTCAATTCCTTCAATGCTTCAAACTGTGTCATATCATATTTTTAACTTCGCTTTGTATTCATAGAACAAAAGCTCGTATATTTTACATGGTTTTTGTTGAACTTTTGCGAATTGGATGGTACCATAAAAAGTGTATTTACTATGTACAAGAGGTTTCATAATTATTCGTGCAATTATTAAAAAAATTTTCTTTCTTTGTTTGCATTTAAACAATACAGAATTTAAATATTGAAAAACGTGTTGAATCCTAATGATATTTGTCAATTATTATTATTATAAGGTACATCTTTTTTTTAATTTCAAGACCATATTTGGATAGAGTATGAATAATTGCGTCCATTTATACATCTCACTTACTAGATCAAGATCAAATTAAGTAATAGTAAAATTCACAACAATGTGTCGGAGAGCATTTTTTTAACAGTGAAATAAAACGCCCGAACTGGATATAAATTAAATTCAGCGTGTTTTTTTCATATGAATAACTTTTATATTCACTATGCTCGTCACACTAGTCAGAAAAAAGGTTCTATGTCTTTGTAAAATATTTCTAAGAATTGATCAGTATAGTCAACTATACTGTGAAAAAAAATGTGCATTTTTTTTTAAAAAATGTAGAGAAGAGAGGAAGAGAAAGCTTGTGATACATTAGTGGTATTCTTTTGTCAGAATAACGCTGTTAAGAAGAAGAGACAGAAGAACAAACTTCTACTACTATTAATCTAAAATTAACAACACAAACATAGGACAAAATGGGAAAGTGTTTAGTAAACGCTTACAAGCAGGTATAAGTCTTTCTATATTATACTGTAAAACACAAGTGTATATAAAAGGATCGGTTTCTATTTAGCACACTTTATCTCTGGAGCGGTTTCAAAGTGTTAAACTGATGGACACTTTGAAGAAATGAATTCTTGTGTAACATTCTTTTAAACGCGCCTCTGCAAAATACTTTTTAAAGTATGTCACAGGAAAATCGTGAAAAACAGGAACCGTGGTTCTTCGATACGCTTTAAATGGACTTTTTGGAACCTTTTTTAAAGTTAGTCTGCAGCAGAACACTTTCAAAACTGTTATAAAAAAAAGAATTCACTTGTTTAACACATCCGTGAGCACAACACTTTGAAACTGCTCCAGAAATAAAGCGCGCTAAATAGGAACGCTCCTCGTAAATGCACTTTTTTTCTCCGTAGTCTTTACCCATCGAACAAGTTCACCGCCATTCTAATCCTATTGAATTCTCGTGGATGGCGTTTTTTCTAGCGCACATTCTGCTCCTTTCATGAAATATATTCTGAACCCACTGTAACAACAAATAGAGAAATTCCAAGCGTGTAAAAGAGAATAGTAGTTTTAAAAGTGGTTAAAAAGAGCGATGTGAAAACAAAAGAATAAAATCTGACATCTCGTAAGAGATGACCACCAGTGCGTATAATCGCATGTATATGAAGATTATTTCGACAAAAGAAATGAGAAAGCAAAAGGTACCATCAAAAAATTAAACGTCGAAACAGAAAACAATATAAAAGTTTAAAAAGAGTTACTATCGGTTATTTATATTTTCATGAACTGCTTTGCTCTAATTCTTGACGTAATTTCAACATGTAATTTTGCATTGATGTATGGAGAGATTTAACATTTTTTCACCTCTCATATAAAAATGTAATAATTCCATTAATGAACGTGATTCTGTCGTAAATTTTAAATCATAGACGTAATAAAACACAATGTGATAGCAGATTGCCTTAGCGAGAGACTCTAGAGCATGAAAAAGCGATTATTTGCAGAAAGAACGGGATTATTTCAGACAATACACAAGTGAATTGCGTAGCCATTGTACCGTTTATGAAAAAAGAAGGATAAAAGTTCTAATAAAAGAAATCTGAATCGTACCTTTGATAGAGCTGTATCGGGTATATATAAATATAATATTTTTCCTGCGTTCTAGAGTTTGATAAGTCTTTGAAGCAATGATTTTCAAAAGCTACCCAATCCTTAGTGCTATCCAGAGCTGCCAGATGATCCGTATTTTGCGGACAAATTCCGCTTTCTATAGTTTTTTCCGCAGAGTATTCGCTGTCCGCAATTTGTCCACTTTTCGAGATTTTTTGGTTTTGTCCTTTTTCCTACAATGAAGATTTTACATTTTCTCATAAAAAACGGCTGAATAACCTGTCAAAATGCTTTTGCAACTTTTATAAAACAGATGTGCACTGTTTTAGGAACTAAATTAGAAATTTGCCCGGGAGTGAGCGCTAAGAGAAAAACATTAGCTTGTCTCAAGTGCTGCTAAAAGGGTGTGTAAAAAAAAGTGAAATACTAAATCTTCCGGGAAGCCAATTCGATCAGAAAATCTTAACCATTAAGTGCTGTCGTAGGCGGGAACGTTTCGAATTAAATTTTATCCTGTCATACATAACTCTTGAAATTTATAACGCCTGATAAAAAGCGCGCATCCACAAAAAGCCAATATAGATTCAAATTGGGATTTAAATCATGTTTTGTACTTCTGTTGTGTTTCGTAAGTGGAATCACCATAAAGCGCTAGAAATTCTTTTTTGATACCCTTTGCATTTGGTGAAATATGAACTAATATGGTGAAAAATGCGCTTCCGCTTTATTCCCCATTTTGGAAAAAATTTCTGCGTTCTTCCACTTTTTCGACTTTTTATTCCGCTTTTCTGACATAAGCAGCTGGCAACTCTGGTGCAATCGTTTTTAGAAGACGGCATTATCGAGGAAAGAAAAGCTTATCGTTTTATTAAAATAAAAAACAACGTCTAGAGCTCACAATTTTTTTTGTGATTTCAGGAGAATAGTCCATGTTTTAATGAATCGTACCTGATATGATGAGTTGGCATCGTCATTAGCATATGAATCTAGTTCTAATCTGTCTAGGTGGACAGAATTTTGCAAAATTGTTCTAAAGCAGAGGTTTTTGATAGGATCAGATCCAAACTTTTGTTTATTTAAATTTAAAGTATATATTCTGAAAACTTGCTTTTCAGGCTACAAAAAAGTCTGAAAACTTTTAGAACAAGGTTACATAAACGAGAGAAAAAAGTTGATTCTTTCTCCATATAGAGCCCAAAACAATCGGTTTTGGTCTTGTTCGATTTACATCTCGGTATCCACTTGAGATGGAAAGTTCGTTTTTCATAGGTGAGTGAACATTTCTAAACAAACAAAATAGTAGAAAGAAATTTAAAATCTGTTGAGTGAAATTATTTTTACGACCAAACATTCTCGGACAACCAATTGCACAATGGCTATACAATTCACTCGTACACATGTTAGTTTTCATGTCGTATACATATACTCTACTGTTAACATGTGTTTTAGTTGTACACTATGATGTCTAAGTGTCTATCTAGTACATGTCTTTAGATGACTTAACGTAACTAATGAGTAGTACGCGTTTAACTAATGAGTTAGAAGTGATTATACATCTTAACGGTAGCTCGTGCCTCCCGCTAACTGCTATATTAACGGTGTCTAATCGAGTCATTACAGCCAAGAAATGCAACAACGACCAAATGTTTAACTAGCATCTAACATATAAAAATAAGGCTTCTTCATGATTCAGACCACTTTTTTTACACTTATCAATTAGACTTAAAAATTAGTCTCAATTTGGAAGTGAAAATTTTATAGTAGTAAAAGTGGTTTCAATTTGGAATAGAGAATTTGTTCTTTTCACATACTTGCACACTGATTATAATTTTGAATCGGATACAATTTATAACATTCTCCGGTAATTTTGGATCTTGCATTGGTTAATGAGTACCATTATCATCAATACAATTATGACATCATCTTTTATTGTTATTGAACATGAACAAGAATTACTAGTACAGACCCATTTTCGAGTTCCGTTTTTATTTCAGCGTGTTAAACGATATAAGTAACTTTTATATAATATACCATCCTGGTTTTTTTCCGTTTTGGTCCGAGAAATATGTAAAGTTGTAGACATGGCAGGATTCACAGAAGAAATCGAACTGAGATATTGCATTTCAATGTAATGCTACTCTTCATTTTTATAGTCCCACCCGATCCAGTAATGTCATTCTTAGCTCAATTTAATTTTAAGCATCAATTTTGAAAAATATTTCAATTTTTCTGTGTCTACAGTGGCCAATCATTCCAAAGTAAAGAGTGATTCCAGCGATTTCGATTAGGTGAGGGAATTCCCCCACCTTGTCTGAAACAATTACTCCATTCATTTTAAAAAATTTACCCCTACTAAAATAAAATTACTCAGAAAACTTAAAAGCCGTTTTTTTTGGTTATCAGCTAAATTTTTAGAGTTGCTCCACAAAACTTCCCCCACCTTGCCAAAGTTATATCGAAAACCCTGAGTGATTCGAAGTTATAAACAGTGTACAAACTATGTGAAAAGAACAGATTCTCTATTCCAAATTGAGACCATATTTTATTTCTATAAGAAACGAGAGAATATGTGCATTTCAAATTGAGACCGCTTTTACTACTATAAAATTGTACGGCACAAAAATCTCGTCTGCGTCCCGACAGTTTTTGAATCGGGATTCTCCATTGTGAGTTTTTACAGTATCTCACACTATATTCAACAGTAGGTATCAAAGATGCCGCTTTTTTTCGACTTTCTTTTATGTCCTTTTTCTTTGTTTGTATTTTTCTTACTATGCGTACTATAGAGAGATATTGAGCAAGAAACAGAGAAAGGAACAAATTTTATCCTTTTATCCAAAAGGAACATTGCACTCACTATGAAATTAGTGTATATTCTGGCAACGTCTCAGATTATAAAGTAAGAAATTTGAAGGTACCCTCAGGAGTGCGGGGTGGAGGAGAGGGATCTCCCTGCTTTTTGGAAAAATTTACTCCGAAATCAG